CTTCCTTCAAATCTCTCAATGTACATTTAAAAAATCTTGCAGATTTTGTGGGAAAATGACTTTTGTTTGATATGATGTTTCTGTAAAAATTGTTATTTTCTTATTTTTTGTTATAACTTAACTTTGAATTTTTTGATTTGATTTGAATTATTTGAATTACTGGTATTTGTTATGATGCAATTGTTTGATATCTTCCTCGCAAAGAGCAAAATTTTCCTAAGCTGCCCCCTTGACAAACAGACTTTTCATCAATAAAAACAAGTTTTCTTTTTATTTCGAGAATGTTCGCACAATCAAAACCAAACCGGAAAAAAAATTCTAAGAAAAAAAATCCGGAAAAAAAAATCGAAAAAAAAACCCGCAAGCAAAAAACCCGCAGATGTACGGCGCGATGACGTCACGCCACAAAAGTGTAAACACGCAGAGTGCATGCACGCAATGCGCTTTGCCGGATACAGTACTCCTTGCAAATGGAAAACTCGCTCTTGTCGTAGCACCCTTTTTTTCTCAGAACCTCCATTTTTTCCATACTATTTCGCCATAAAAATTATCTCAAACTAGTGGTAAACGGAGATAGAATCGGCACAACAGAGAAATTACCGTATGATAAATAATATTCAAATTTAAGATCCTTCTGAAACAGATGAATGAACTAAAGCCATTTTTTTAAATTCCTAATCCTTTCACGTCAAATTTGTCGTAGACCTGAATCCTTGAAAGAAAAGAGGAAGCCTCGGAAAACGATCCAAATTAGCTTTTAAGATTTTCCGGCACGTGGAGGATTTTCCGGAAGGATGGACATTTTTTCAACAACGGCTTTTTTTCCTGAGCCGTCAAAAAAAGATTTGAGAAAAACTGAAAAAAAATTTTTTAAACCAGATATCGAATTTATGGAAAAATCACATTACTGTTTCAGAATTAACTTATGAATGAAGATTTCATTTTTCTAACTGTTTACTCGTTTTATTTTAGTGGCCAATTTTTTTGAAAAATGCTGAATTTTTCATTTCAAAATATTTTAACTAATTGAAATTTGTGAAATTCTCGATTTCGGTCAGTTTTTAAGTTCGAAAAAAAGCAATTACTGGCAGCCCAAAAAAAGAGATTTCGTGATTTTTTTGATAAATTTCAAAGCCAAAATTTAAAAAAATAGACCTTTAATGAAAATATATTAGGCGCGAAATAGTGTTTTTATAAGATTTGAGAGCATTTTTTTGGGGTGAAATTTAAAAAAAAAAGGGATTTTTTTGTAAAAAAATAATCGTCAAAATTTTCAAAAAATGACTTCAAAATATGAAGAAATAGGTACGTTAAAACCGCTAGAACAGCCTAAAAAATTTTTTCAATACTTGAAAAATTGAAAAAAATAGGCATTATAAAAAAGCGACCGACTTTTCCAGAATTCTGGGAAAATTTTTATTGGTCACTTTAGGGTTTTGACGTCTTAGTGGCGTAGTAGAATTAGTGGCCACTTAAGGGGTTAAAATCTAGTGGCCACTATAGAAGTCTAAGTGCTCCTACTAGACCACTAAAAATTTTAGTGGCCACTTTAGGGGTCAATGGATCATTATAACTGCTCCAATCTGTTTGTTTTAAAATTATCAGAGTTACTGGAAGGAATACTGGATGAAAACCTACTGAAGTGGCCACTAAAACGGAAAATAGTGGCCACTTTAGTGTCCTATCCAAGTAGTCCTTGGCGAGCCTCTGGTCACTAAAGATTTTACCAGTGCTTCTCTTTACCATGCAAAAGTGCGAACACTTTTAAAACGCGTACAGTTTGAAAAAAGAAAAGAATCAAAGTTGAGAAAAAGGTTCGAAAAGTAGTCAGTTCTTATCAAAGTCAAGGTATTGGGAGAGCAAAGAAACAAGAAAAAAAGGCATGAAATGTGGCGGGAAAAGTGTGTAACAGAGGAGAAAGAAGCCGACGGGAAAACGTATGGGTCAGGGCCGATCGTTCGTTGACGCCTTTTTTTTCCAGACTTTGGCCTCTTTTAAATCACTTTACTCTGTCTGGGCATGGTTAAGACGGGAAAAGGGAAGTTATCGAGACAATCTACTCAAGAATTTCAGAGGGGTCCCTATAGGGGTTTAAGGTCTCAACTCTAACCCTTTGAAACTCAAGTGGCCCCTATAGGGATCTAAGGTCTCAACCCTAACCCTTTGAAGCCGAAGTGGCCCCTATAGGGGTCTAAGGTCTCATCCCTGACCCTTTAAAACCCAAGTGGTCTCTATAGGGATCTAATTTCTCATCCCTGACCCTTTGAAGCCCAAGTGGCCCCTATAGGGATCTAAGGTCTCAACTCTGTTCCCTTTGAAGCCCAAGTGGCCCCTATAGGGGTCTAAGGTCTCAACCCTAACCCTTTGAAGCTCAAGTGGTCCTTATAGGGGTCTAGGTCTCAACCCTAACCTTTTGAAGCCCAAGAGGTCTCTATAGGGGTCTAAGGTCTCCTCCCTCACCCTTTAAGGCCCAAATGGCCCCTATAGGGGTCTTAAATTACATCCAAACCGATTATTTATTCAGTTTTTCCCACGGAAATGCTTCTTCGCTAAGAGTTCATAAAAATTATCGACTAACCTTTCCCCTGTAAGGACCACTTTTGAAAGCTTCTGTGGCCCTATAGAGGTTTATAAAGAGGACTTTCCAAAAGCCCCTAAGGTTGCCTCTATAGGGACCCCTATATTAAAAAAAAATGAGAACTGAAGATTATCAACTATGAAATAGAAGAGAAATGAACAAATGAGGCATTTTTATGGTGGTGGCCGAATTTCACAAATGAAGGCCTAACTTCCCAACAATTCACCGTCCTGATTTCCACGTTTTTCCTCAAAAAAGAATATCTTTGTTTTAATTTTTGTTCATTTTATTTTTATTGGGTTTACCTTGATCTTCAAGAATCTCAATAGAAAATGAGAAAGAAGTAGATTTCTCGGTCGAGCAACATTACTGTAAAAACTGAGCCTTTTTTCATATTAAGCCGCTCAAAATGGACTTTTTTCTCTATTACCGCTCAATTTACAGCACCCAGTATCCATAAAATCAGTGACACTTTGAGAAAAAAAGCAAGAAAAAGCAGGAAAATAAGTCAAAACAAAAGGGCGTCCGGAGCATCGATCTTTGTGCTCGGCGGACGTCTTTTCCCTTCCTTTTTTCTTTTTTTTTCTGTTTTTATGGGTCTTTCTAGGGTCTATGGCGATTCCAACGCTTTTCGTTAAAGTTTTCGAGGGATCGGAGAGTTGGGAATGTTATTTTTTTGAGTTTTTTAAACTCACTTTCGAGAAGTTTTTAAGAAACTTGAAGAAAAAAATTCAGAATGATGGAAAAAAGTGAGAAAAATCCTTTCTACAGGTTTATCATTCCCGAAAAAAATGAAAAATCAAATATTCAGATTTTTTTCCAAGCATCACATTTTTCATTGAAATAATAAAAAAAAACATATTTTTCTGAGCCTTTATTATTATTATAATTCAAGTAATTATGAATATGAAACTAAAAAAATTGAAGCGCAGATTTCAGAAATTGATAAAATTTGATATTTCCTTCGAAACTATCATGAAAAATTATTAGATTTTTTTAAGTTCGAAAAAAAATTTTTTTGTGAAGATTTTTGGACTATTTACAAAATAGTAATTCAACACTTCTGAAAAAAATAAATGTAAGAAATTTTTTTAAATTGAAACTAACTTCCTAGACATGGTCGCATGTGGAATGATTTGACTTGAAGCGTAAAAACTGCTTCAAAAGTGCGCCCGACCAGAAACGACTTGCGCTAGGAGCATTTGAAATCAAAGAATTTTTCGACCTTAAAATTTCAGATTTGTGAAAAAACAGAGTTTTTTTAACCTTTCTAAATGCGGCCGGAGCTTTAAAAAAAGAAAATCTTTAAAAAAACTGGAATATATCGAAAAAAATTTTTGTTCAAATCTTCGGAAAAAAGCCTTTTTTTCACAATTTTTTTCTCTTAAAAAAACTGAAAAATTCTATCAAAAATTTGACTTCTTCTTGCCCTTTCCCAACAGAAAAACGACCTCCAGGGAACTTTTGCTCAAAATGAACGCCATGGGAAAAGTTCTCAAAGGCGACAAACAAATTATAGTCCGACACCGGAGGTGGGAAATTGAGCCAATTAGGAAAAGTGAGAAAGAAAAAAAAGGTTCCGTCTCAGTTTGTACCCTGCCACCGTTGATTGAGTCCTCGAACCAGGAAACCTTTTTTCGGGGGAAAAAAATATTGAAAGCTTCTGGGGATCAAGATTCCACTAGGAAGGCTGATAATTTCTGACCTTTCAATACGAAATATTTATAAATTGAAATTTTTAAAAAAACCATATGAAGAGTGAATTGAGGAGGAAGAACCACTCAAAAAATAAAAAATAACAGCCGTTTTGGGAAGGATTTTTATTTTTTTGCCATTGAAAACATCTGAAAATCGGCTTCTGCGGAGTGGTCCCTTCAGGGCTCTTAAGGGACTTCTCAAAGGACCACTTCATCTTCGCCTATAGTGAGCCCTAGAGCTTTCAAAGGTGACTCCTATTGAGTTCTATTAAGTGGCCCCTACAGGGGCATGATAGTCGTTCTAGGAGCGATTTACAAGTAAGGAAGTTTTTTTTAGACATCGCAAAGGCATGAAAATTGGCTAGGATATCCTGCTATGAACTACTCGAGAGTGTTCCCTTCAGGGCTCTTAAGGGACTTCTCTAGGGACCACTTCATCTTCGCCTATAGTGAGCCCTAAAGCTTGCAAAAGTAACCCCTCTAGGGGACATGCTAGTCGTTTATTGTACGAAGCATTTTCATGCAAAACGCTCAATAAATTAGAGTTTTTTGAATGAAAAAATATCAAAAGAGGATAAATTGATCAATTTAGTCTTTTTTAAATCTGAAAATATGAATAAAAATATTAAAGCCTTGGGGTTTAGGGATTCAGTGATCAGACACTAATGCCTTATAGGGACTACCTAAGTTTTACCCCCGTAAGGGGCTGCTTTCCCCTGACCCCTTTAGGGACCGCTCTGGATTTTCTGATCATGTGAAGATTTGAAAATTCTATAAATCGACTCTTTTTGAAGAAGAAGAAGCGAAAAATCGGATATATGAAGAAAGATTGACCGTTTTGACGAAATTCCTCAAAAAATTCCACAAAGTAGCCCTTGGAGCGATAATTCAAACAGAGAACAGTACAGTAAGATGAAGAAAAAATCCAAAAAGTGTGTTCAGAGGTTAAAAAAAAAAGAAACTTTTGAGGTTTTTTTTAAGAGAAAGGTTATTAGAGATAATGTCAGGGAAAACGGTGATCTTAGGTCAAAAATAGAGCGAGATTTAACTCAATTTTTGAAGTCCGAAAAGCCATTTTTTTGTGTGAAAACTGTCAAAGACTCATGTAGCACTGTCTCCGGCTTCGGTTCACATTAAAATACACGCGACTTTGAGCAGGAAACTCGTTGAGTTTTGAATAAACCAAAAAGTTAAACATTTATTTATAGTTTTATGTACAGAAAACAAATGGAATATGTTTACTTTCTCCGTTTCTTGTCCCCGAAATAAGGCATGCACTTCTTGTCGTTCTTGTCCTTGCAGTAGCAGTAGGCGATGTCCTGCAAAGCTTTAAAACTTGAAGATTTTTTTTTGAAAAGTACGCTTATATCCATTTAATCATATCTCTTGAGAGTTATACTCAAAAGGTTTGAAACTACTGAAAAATATTGTTTTTTTTCTGAAAAATACTTTATTTATGTGGATCAGCTCTTTCTCAAACAGAAATCTAGCTCGATTTCTGTGTCGAATTCTTCCTTTCTCAAAAATAAAATTGCAAAAAAATTTACTCGGGAAGGATTCGAACTTTGATGATGAGGTTAACAATCTAACTTCTTAGCCACTATACCAAGTTGCGAAGGGCGCTGCAACGCTCAATCACGTATCATATTGGGTACTGCCTAGTTTAAAATAACTAGAATTCAAGAAAAAAAATATCATTTTTTTCAGATTATTGGAGGAAATTCGGAAAAAGCCTAAATTATGACCAAATTAATGTTCTCAGGTTCATCAAAAAGTTTGAAAAATTAAATAAAAAAATGATTCAACATTGATTTTTTTGTTCAAAAAAATATAACTCTTAAGATTTTTTTATTTTTTTATTCAAAACTACCAACCTGGATGCCAGATTTTTGGGTCAGGACCACATTGGGGTTGATCGACTGGAGGGCATTTTTCATAACAGCCAAAGTTATTTCCAGGAAGCGACCTAAAAATCCAAATTTTCAAGAAAAACAAAGAAAACCACAAAATTCAATAAAAATCTAGGATGAAACTCGGGAAAAAGTGGACGCTTTTTTCAAAAAAGAGCTTCTAAGGGTTCCCAACATATCTTTTATATTTTATCAAGTTCAAAGAGCCCTCTTCCATATAAAACCCCCTGATATCCTTAAGAACCTGTAGGGTTCTCGAAATATCGACTTTTTCTAATTTTGGGTCTTTTTTTGTCTCTCGTAAGTTCAAAAAAATTCATATCTCGGCTAAAAATTCTCAAAATCGGGTAAAAGTAAAGTTTTTATTGTTCTTAGAGAATCTTTTTTTATGAAAACAAAACGAACGCGACAAAATAGCAGCATTTGTGGAAGGGGAGACACTCGACGAGGGTCACGTTGTTCACGGGATTCTGAAAAAAATTCATTTAAAAAGAAATTTTTCCGAGAAATCTGAGTAAAATGCTTTTTCGAGTTCCTAGGGTGAAAAATGCAAAAAAATCAAAAAAATTTGTTTCAAATTTTTTGTCAGCTGTTTCTCTTCCTCAAAAACTAGCGATATTTTTTTCTTGATTTTTTTAAATATTTAGAAAAAGTAAAACGAACATCGCCCCAAATCTGCCATCCATCGTAGCATTTCAAGGCTTCAGCTGCGTAGAAAGTTGTGAAGAAAAAGAGAATTCCAGTGATTTTTGTCATTTTATCTGGAAAATCGAGTTTTTAGGAAGAATATTCTTTAAGTTTTTGTGATTCGAATTAAAATAATCTTCATAATTTATCGAGTTATTGTTAACTAAATCATCGGAACATCGAAGAACCGCAAAGATTTTTCAAGAAGATATTGGAGCGATTGACGAGAGAGTGTTCAAAAACAGGAGGGTAAAAAGATAAATGAGCATTTTTTTTAAATGAAAATCCGTGAATGAACAAAATTTTAAAAATTTAAAAAAGAAAAATTTTGAAGCTTTTTCTTTGGTTTTTTTGCATTTACAAAAAGAATTCTGGGAAAATTTTTAGTGGCCACTATAGAGGCCCGCCAAGGACTACTCGGGAAGGACACTAAATTGACCACTAAACCCACCTCTATAGTGGCCACTATTTTCCGTTTTAGTGGCCACTTCAAAAGTTTTTCATCCAGTATTCCTTCCAGTAACTCTGATAATTTTAAAACAAACAGATTGGACCAGTTATGTTGATCCATTGACCCCTAAAGTGGCCGCTAAAATTTTTAGTGGTCTAGTAGTAGCCCTTAGACCCCTATAGTGGCCACTAGATTTTAACCCCTTAAGTGGCGACTAATTTGACTACTACAGTGGCCACTAAAACGTCAAAATCCTATAGTGGCCACTAAAATTTTTAGTGGTCTAGTAATAGCCCTTAGACCTCTTTAGTGGCCACCTAAGGGGTTAAAACGGCTAATTTGACTACTATATTGGCCACTAAAACGTTAAAACCCTAGAGTGGCCACTAAAAACTTTCCCAGTATATTCAATTCAGCTTTAAACAGAAGCTTTGGGTCGTTCTACTTGAAAGTTCGTGGTCGCACTTGAAATGGCTCAAAGCGTGACTAAACCCGACTTGAAACTACTTTCGCGCAGACTTTTTTGAAGCTTATAAAGTTGCCGCGTTGCTTTGATCCATTACAAGCGCGGTCAGGACTTTTCGAGTCGAATATGAATAATAAAAAAACAGTTAGTAAGATAAAATGAATTGAATAATCTCTAAAAAACCTTCCTAACGTGTAAGACGATAAAAAAAACTGAAATGAGAGGAAAAGAAGACGTCAACGACGGCGCCGTCGTGTCTGACGGTGTCCGTTCTCTTCATTTTTGATAAGGAAGTCGTTCCAAAAACAGAACAGAGTACAGTGTTCCTGTGGGGAAGGTCGAAAAAGGGCAAACTTTGATTGATCCGAAGGAAGAAGAAAATAAAGGAAAATGTTGTTTTTCTGCAGAGATATTGGATGTTAAGAGGAACTGGTTTCAGAAATGAGAAATTCCGATTGTAAAGTGACCACTTGAGCGGCATTTGTTGCGTTTTACCTCAAGCAGTAGCTTCTAGGGAATTCTGGAGTGGCACCTATAGGGGTTCGGGGGAAAACAACCCTTATAACGGCCGAAAAAGTGGTCTCTAAAGGGGTGAAATTGAGGTGGTTCCTGTAGGGGTTGAGGGTCTGCCCCCTTAGCCCCTAAAGCTGAAGTGGTCCCTCCAGGGGTCTTTCAAATTTATTCAAAAAACGCTTAATTTTTTTTTCGCATAGAGTTTATAACAACTGTCGGCCACCACTTACTAAAACCCCTATAGGGACCACTATTCCCAGCTTTATGGGCTTTTTAGCGGCTAGTAAAGTGGCCCCTAAAGTTCCCTCTATAGGGACCACTCTGGATTTCTTAAATTAAGAGGTTTTTTTAATCCCAATTGAAATCTTCCAAGAAATAGAATCATTTCTTCCAAAAAAAGATCTAATCATTTTAATATTTTTTTCAATCAATTGAAAAAGCTCAAAAAAATTAAAACATGCTCCAATCGTCCATGGAGCGCAGAAGCCCCAATTTTTCGGGCCTTAAAAAAGGTAATTTCCGAGTAGGCAAAAGCTAACTCCTGGCACGGCATTGCCCACTTTGTGTGCCCTTCAACTTACAACTTTTGCCTTCTTCATTTTATTTGCTTTCGCTCAACGTAAACAGCTTTTCTGACCTTCTGATCCTTAGGTGAACTTTGTGAGAAAAATGATAAATAAATATAGAAATTCAAAAAAATTCAAACAAAAACTGAAGAATGTCTGTAAAAAAATGTTTTTCGGGGAATTTTTCGTCGAGATTGATGATTTTACCGAGTTGACACGATCAAGAACGGTTTCCGAAAGTGCCTAACTTATTGTAAAGTTTTAAGAAATTGAAAAATTTAACGATAAATGGAACTGTAATATGGGATAATTTTCAACATATTTCGTAAGAAAAACAAATTTAAAAAAAAATGGAAAGTTGATCTGAAAGCCCTTCAATTGTGGCTCAAATCTGTGATAGTTTAAAAATTTTTTACAAATGAAATTTTTGGATTATGTTTTTCAAATTCAAGCTCAAAAGAGAAGAAAATACTATATAACTCAGCAGTTAGAAGCTGATTTCCAGAATGAAAAGAGAACTTCGAATAGAATTCAAGTTTGTGCAGTAGAAAAATTGTTTCTGCGCTCTTAACTTCAAAAAAAAGTATGAAATCACAAGGTCTATGAAACTTCTGAAATGCTATCACTTCATTGTGAGTCTTTGTATAAATCAAAAAACGGAAAACAGAAATTAAAGCCGTAGAAAAATTGCACTCAAACGGTTCATTAATTAGTTACTATGGACTTTAAAACAATGAAAAAAAGAAAAAGAAGGCCCGAATATTATAAAAGAAAAATCCAAGGACCTTTTTTGAGAGAAAAATGACGGAATATTGTTGGAAAAAAATTTTTGAAAAAAAATTTTTTTCAACGTTTAATTTAAATTGCACTACGAAGTAGATCTATATGAAAAACCAGGCTAAACTCTGAAAAAAAAATATATATATAAAGCAGCGATTTATTAATCTGATTCATTTATTAGCGACTACAAAAGTGCAAAAAAGGTCTTGACGCGAAATCATGTCAAATTCGGTACACGGTCTTTTTGGAAAAAATAAAAACGTGACAGGATGGCTATAAAGTACCCAAGAAGACATAAAAATGGAAAACCAAGGCCGAGCAACTTGTCTTTTAAGCTTCTCCTAGGGCCTCCGCCCCACTCTTCGGCCACGTGAAGACGAACAGAATAAAGAGGAAGAAAAACGGCAAAAACGAAGGTTAACCTCAGTTTTCCGGTCCGTTGGCACACAGACGCCGGTGTTGACTTGCGATCGAACACGAGCCGAGAAAACACAGAACGAGGACGTGGAAAGGCAAAAAAGAAGGAGAAGAAGAAAAAACGTGATCATCCAGAAAATGTTAGACCGGAAAGCGATCGAACGTCTAGAGGACCAGGCATTAAAGTTCATAATCTGTTGATAAACATTTTCGGAAACTTCAGGTTCTGGGATTTGGATGCAGAACTTTTGGGATGAAATTTGTGATTTTAGTGTAAATTCTCGGGGAGATTCGAAAAGGTGGATAACTGGGAAAAATTTTAGTGGCCACTATAGGGTTTTGACGTTCTAGTGGCCACAATAGTAGTCAAATAAGTGGCCACTTAAGGGGTTAAAAATGAGTGGCCACTATAGAAGTCTAAATGCCACTACTAGACCACTAAAAACTTTAGTGGCCACTATAGGGGCCATTGGTTCAACATAACTGGTCCAACCTGTTTTTTTTTTCAAAATTATCAGAGTTACTGGAAGGAACACTGGATGAAAAACTACTGAAGTGGCCACTAAAACGGAAAATAGTGGTAACTATAGAGGTGGGTTTAGTGACCACTTTAGTGTCCTCTCCAAGTAGTCCTTGGCGAGCCTCTATAGTGACCACTAAGAATTTTCCCAGTACTATTCATTTTAAATTCGTGACAAGCTAACATTTTTTTTATTTATCAGTTTCAATGAGCAAATTTGAAGGATAATAGAAGGATCACAGACTTCAGAGAAAAATCCTTATAAAATTGAGAAAAAGCTGATGGAGTTTCAAGTTCATGGCAATTTTTTAATGGAAACTGAACCCTGCTAATATCTTTTTTATACCGTGAATATGTGAAAAAAAGGAAATCCAGAGATTTTATTGAGAAAATTGTTGATTGTTGATCGCGAGGTTATGTTTCTAATGGTTTTGTTTATTTGTCTTGAGATAGAACCGGCGAAAAATAGAGAGGAGTTTATTGTTTATAACTGCAAAATGAAACTTTGAGCTCAAAATCAAAATATTGAAAAAGAAAAAAAATACGGGAGCGGTTATTTGGGGAAAAATCGGTTTTTTTTTTTTCAAAATGTATGGCCTTCCTGCTTTATTTCACATGAAATACAACACGAGCACAGTCAAGAAGGACCTAAAAAGAAGTTTTTTGGAAAAAAAAAGGTCTTTTTAAAGGTCCTTTTAAAAAAGGCCTAACTCGGACAAAGTCCTAATGGTGGATAATGGCCTCTAGAAGGAAAAGGCTCAAAAATGGCAGCAAAAAGGCAGCAAAAAGGCAGCGAAAGGCACAAAGAGACTCCCTTTATCGAGCCTTCCATTTTTCTGGGATTTTAAATGCTCAAGAAATGGTGGAAAAAGGGAGAGGCAGCAAAAATGGAGCATAAGGGTCGAGAAAATGGCGCAAAAAGGCAGCAAAAAGGAAAATTTCTATAGAGCCATTTTAGACCCTTTCGGACTTTGCCTATGTCACGGGTTTAAAGTTTTGTTTGACCTTTGTAGAAAGAAAAAGAAGGAAAAAGGAGGAAAAAGGAGATTCAGAGGAACTCTTGACACCTTCTCAGGAACTCAAAAAAGGAGCTCTAGACTTTTCTTTTTTTTGGGGCAGTTTGGACTTGGCCCGCGAAAAAAGACTCCTACTGCAAGAAGAAAAAATGAACATTTTTTGCCTTTATATAGAAGCCCAAACGGTTACGTAACCATTGTTCTTGGCACACAAGAATTGTTTTGCAACAGAGGATTTTGCATGGGCAATGAATGCGGCGATGTTTGAACAATCCTGGCACAGTCAAATGTTGTTTTCCTCCGTTTTCCAGACTGTTTTTTGATCAAAAATGGGTTTTGTACAAGGTTAATATATTCAGGATTATCAGTTCGACCCCGTCATGGACCGAGAAAGTGTGAAAAGTATGGTGACACGTGAAAAAAGTGGGAAAAATGTCAATCTGGTAACTTTTTGTTCAAAATAAAATAGTATATTGTAGGAAAAAAATAGAGAAACTCCTAAAATAGTGAAGCCTTTAATCAAAAAAAAAACCTGAAAAGGAAAATTCAAAAATCATGATGAAACCAGTGAAATAAAAGTGAGTATTTTAAACTGTGAATCATTTTCTTTTATAAGCCGATTTATCAGCTTTACCAATTATTTTTCAAACTAATCAAAATCGAAGATCCTTTTGAGAATATGCAAAAAATACAATCCTACCTCGTTGTGGGTTTTTTCAGGCGGTAATAACAATTGAGAATTGTCGATTTTCTTTCCATCGGATTCAAATTTCCTTTCTGATTCTGCCGAAACTTTCTCCTTGAGGATTTTCATTTTTTTTTTGCCGAAAAAAGTACCCATGACGACTACGCGACCACATCAGTGTAAGCTGAAATTATTAACAAGATTTTCCTCAATCAAAAATTATTTTAAAATATTTCTCTTGCGCACCGAATGGCAGAATCTTCAGAACAACTCTTCTGATACTTCAAAAAAATGAAAAAAAGACAAAAAAAGGAAAAAAAGAAACAGATACAAAATTTCAAACTTGACGTTTTGCCGGCTTTTTCTAAACGATAAAATTTTAACTTAAAAATTTTTCAAAAGACCCTCAATCTGAGAGAAACGCAGGAAAAAAACGTTTTTTAGAATATTGAACGAACTTTAAAAAAATTTTTAAAAAAAAACGAAAATCACCATTTCAACAAAGTTTGAGGGCCAAATTTACACAACTTCTTGCAAAATCGGTAGTTTTCGTGACGGCGAATTCAAAAAACACAACAAACACCATTAAAATTTGAAAAAAGCGTAAATATACACGGCGTTTCCAGAGCTATTTTTTGCCCACAAAAAAGTCGTCAAATAAGATGTTTCTTGTGCATTTACCGCTGACGAAAAATTACACACTGCCGAATTTTTATAATTTTCGAATGGACAAAGAAATTTTTTTTAAGCTTAAAAAAGGGAAAGAATGTATATTTTCTCATCTATCTTCAATTTCAAAACGGAAAATACTAAAGAGTTATAAAGAATATATATAGAAAAACTTTGTGATACATTTTTCCTCCGAATTTGATTTTTGCGTACACTTTCCAAGATAATTTCTGAATCTTCTGGAAGTTTTCAAACTCGGTGTAAAAATCCATCGATATTTCTGTGCATCGAGACATTTTTAACGATAATTTTTTCAAACGAAGCTCCGCTAGAACGCCTTGAAACTTCAGGAGGATTCCACGTCTTTTATTTCTCCATGGCCTTCAGCTTTTCGTACTTTCCATCGATTTCTTCGAACAATTTCAATGCAAAAAACACTTCACAATATATCGATTTATACTTCAAACTCTAATTGATTAAAAGGCTCGAACAAATGAGCGAAAGAATGCATAAAAGGCGAAAAAAGAAACAAACCACTACGCAAACGACTAACAAAAAAAAGGGCACAGAGGAAATCACTAGGCAATCATAATTATAACGAAACAAAGGCATATTATACTGATGGGAGAGGACAAGAAAGAAAATAAAAATAGGAATAAACAAATTACAGAATGATACTCATAATTGAAATATTCACACGACGAATGCACAAAAACGCATCGACCCGAGCGAATACCGTAATCGAGAAACGAAAGAAAGAGAAAAAACGACCAAAAAATAACAGAAAAAGGGAAAAATCGGGATTTAAGAAATCGGCTGACAAGACCAGAGACGTCACGAGTACGATATACAAAGACCCAACAGTTTTCTGTAGCTTTTTTTGTGAATTTTTGATATTTTCCATGGTTTGAGTGAAGAAAATTCATGCTATAGTCCGTTTACGGCGACTTGAAAAGACTTCTCTGCGCCCTCCTCGTCTCTCTCATGTTTACATGATGTTTCCATTTCTCTGACCTCCCCGTGAGGGAACAGAGAGACGCAGACACGCGAAAACTGTCAAGTCGCGGTGGACGGACTATAAAATCTCAAGTTCCGCGAAAATCGTTTTCGATTCACTCAAAGCACCGTAGCAGATAAGTTTCATATGAAAATCTAACCGATCAATTGGAGAACCGAATGAGAAAAGGCATATTTTTTGAGGAGTGGATCACAATTTTTCGAATTTTTTTGAAGTTTTGGTTCGTCACAATTTTACAAATCATTTCGAATCATTTCTACCTGAAAAATGAAGAGAAAGAGCAATTTGAGTATGGGAAAGAAGCAACAAGAAAATATTCTACAAGAAGAAATAGAAGAACTGCGGGAAGGGAGAGTAAGGCAATTTTTCGAACCAGACGTTTTTTTGTAGTTTTTTTTTCTTCGTGAAGGAACCATTCAGAAAGAGCTAAAAAAAATGAAAAAAAGATTATTTTGAACCAGAATATTATGAGAGAGAGGGAAATTGAACTGAAGATTGAAAAATTTGATAAAAAAATTGAACTGCAGAAGGTTGATTTTTTCTATTGTTTTTCAGTTCATTTTTTTCGACCGCATTGAATGCTTGGAAGCCCAAATGTCACACGATACGCCTTAGGCGGAACTTGAATTTTCTTCTATAAAAAAATGAAATCTACTATGAGAGAAGTGCAAATAAGGAACCCCGTGAAATTGGACAAAGAAACAACCCTAGGAAAACAAAAAATGAAAAAAGACTAGACCCATTTCAATGACAAGACGATAGGACGGCAAAATGGCGAGAGATAACAGAAAAGGTGGAGACGGCCAGACAGTTAGAGTTATCAGAATGCGTCTAGGAATCTCCTCGTTTTCCACGCTCTCTCGCCGTTTTTCGTCCTAGAAATGGAAAAGAAGCGCGTATTTGTGTGACAAGTGGACGCAAAGAAGAAGAATTGATGGAACCCGGGAAAAATAAGACAAGTTTAGCTCTCTTTCTAAATTTCCGTCTTACTAGGCAACTTTTTTTTCGAATTTTTTTTTGTCTGGGAAATATTAAGACACGCGGGAGCAGATACTTAGTATAGATAGATCACAATAAAATTCAATACATAGTATTATTAGAGCGGATCGAATCACATATGTGCAATTATTTAACAATATTGTCGGCTAGGCGGTGAGACAAAAGTACGTGAAAAGTGAAAGCTGAAAAGAGTGTGGGAATTTCGGAGGCAGGCAGAGACGATGGGAGCGTCTGCGTCTCTCGGTTTTCCTCGCTATTCAGTAGTTCTGACCCATTTTTCACATACCCTATACAGAAAAGGCAACTAGCGATTGGAGGAATGAAAAACAGGGTAAATGAAAAGAAAGAAGAAAGTTCTCATTTACCCGGAAAAGGAGGAAGAAGCACGTTTTTTTTGTTCTAAAATGGCGAATAAAACATTCAACAATCCATGAGCATTTGTGTAATAATAATGATATATAAAATGAAAGAAACAACTGGAATCATCACCGTTCTGATCACTTTGCTTCGTGTGTATTTGTTTCCCATGAAAAACAACAACAACCAAGAAGATTGTGGCAAAGAAGAATATGTTAGGCATTGGAAAAAGGGAAGGAAAAAAGAGAAGAAGAAGAAGATTGGCGACCCGTCGGCGGAACATTTCGACAAGAAGAAACGAAGGAAGGCGGTGGAGAACGACCCGTTGGAGCACTCGGAAGGACTGGGAAGGCGGTTGGAGCAGAGGGAAGGCGGAGGGAACCGGGGGAGGAGGAGGCTCAAGATCCGCGGGAAAGTGCGCGCTCTTGGGCAATCTCCCAGTTGGTGATCCGCGACTTGAGGACGGCCAATTTGGACCGAAGATCCGTGTGCTGCTGTCGGGCCTGCAAATGACGTGATAAATGGGAAATCGACCAGGATTCTTTGGAAACCGTACTCGGACCTTGGGTAACTCAAAGCGGACGTTTCTGAGCATTTCTAGTGATACCTTTAGGGGATTTAGTACTCTTAAGTGATTACTAGAAATGCTCAGCACGTCCAGTTAGCATTTCCGAACCAGGAAAAGTCGGATTTTCGTAAACAAGTGCGCTCCATGGTTAATATAAACTACAGGTCTAGCTAGAAAATCGTCGCATTTTTTTTCCCTCGAAACAACTTTTCAAAAAATTTAGATTATCTCAGGGGATCACTTAAGAAGTTCCTACTTGATCAATTTTTTAAAATTGAGTTTTTAGTGACCTTTATTAAGCTTTTTCTTTTTTTTTTCAGGTGCAAAATTTGAAGTTGGTTTCACGATAAAGGCCTCAAGATTTTTTGAAGCTCCTTCTGAAAAACCGACACGAAATATTCACCCTCAAAAAGTCGGGATTCTTCTCGTAATGCGCAAAACGCTTCTGGATCTCCCTCTCAACGTGGGCCACGTCTTTCCCGGTGCCTTTCTTGTTGGCCGAGTTGAGCTTCTGCTCGAGGTTCCGGAACTCCTTGGAGACCTGGAGAAAATCTTCGGATCTACAGAAGACCATTTCGATTCCAACCTCGGTGAGGACTCCATAGTACTTCATGTACATGGGGTACTCCTTGTGGAACATGCTGAAGTAGTCTTCGGCCTCTTCGAGGGTCTTGATCTGAAGGAGAGAAGAGATGAAGGCAGGTGATTGGGGGAGGTCGAACCTCGCCGAAATTCTTTTCCCAGTCGCAGGAGGGCTGGCTGGGCGACGAGAGCGATGACGCGGGCGACGAGATTCGCGATGACGCGGTACTGCCGCCGCCGTTGTTGGCGCTGCCGACGTTGTTGTAGGTCGACCGGGAAGGCGGGGCCAGGCTCGTCGTGTTCATCAGCTTCGACTGAAAATGTCCACTGTGGTCTCAGAAAGAGTTACGGATTTAAAAAAGTTCTTCTTGGAAAAGCTCAAAAAAGTGTATCTGCACTAACCATAGCGGTGGTGGCCGAGTTGGGAACGCTCGACTGGACGCCGTGATGGAGCATCGACGTCGTCGTGGGGTCATCTGGCGGGCTGGCGCTCTCCAGACGACGCGGGCGTTTCTCCGAAGTGGCGCCTTCAGGATCCTTCGAAGACGTCGTGGTGGTGGAGGTGGCCACGTTGGGGACGTGGGCTTTCCGCTTGACGCCGGTCGGCATCAGCGGAATCGTGTCTTCGTCGCTGATTGGACTATCTCGTGGGGCCGACGACGTCTTCGCGCTGGCAGTACTGCCGCCGGAAGCCGGTCTCGACATCGGAGGCGTTGGAATGGCTGGAAAGGAAAAATTGGTTCATTCTGCTAAAGTCAAGGTTTTTTTCTTGGTAGAAACGGATATCAGCCTGGAGCGTTCAGATAAGGCCAGCGGAATCAGTTTTTTACGCTGATTCCAAAGATATTGTTGAAAATTGACATGGAGGTCTATTGAAAAAGTTATGATCACTTATAGTTGAAAAAAAGCCGGTGATCAGAGACTCGGTAAGCTCATTGAGAACTAAGAAGATTTTTTCTGAGCCCCAAGCTCCTACTGACCTTCGGACAGTCAATCCACTACTTCAAGTCTTTCATTTTCTCAAAAGAAGATAATCAGAGACTGAATGAGCTAAATGAGATCTCAAAGAAGGAGCCTCCAGCTCCCCACTAACCTTCCGGACTGACAGTCTGCCCCTGAGGCGTCAGGACCGTCGAGGCGCTCTTGTCGGCGTTCCTGCCGGGATGCATCCGTTCCATGCCGGACTTGCGCATCGGCGCGAACGACGACGACTCCAACTGAGCGGGTCGGACGCCGCTGCCGGCCGCCAGCAGTTTCCGGACTTTGGCCTTCTCGTCGGGGGTGTAGAAAGGCCATCGGGGGTCGACCTTCGGGTAGTAGGTGGTCTTGAGGGAGAGACGGTCGTTGAGCTGTTCGGACAGCTCGCGGACCATCTCCTCGACGCGCTTCTGGAGGTCCGTCTCCTCGGCGACGCCGTCAGACCGCAGCTTTTTGAAGATCTGCAGAATGGATTGGTTGGAGAAGGAGAAGGTTGGGATCGTGGCGAGACCTCTTCCGAGTTTTTGAAGCGTTGGGTCACGACGAGGTGGATGACGCGACTTCGGAGGGGTTGTCGCTTCAGCTCGCCACGGAGAACGTCCGGCTTGATACCTGGAATTGGAAAATTATTGAAAAAAGAGATTTGGTTCGAAATTTGCGTAGAACAAGTTGAAAGGAAAATGGGAAATTTCAAAAAAAGAAAAAAGATTAACCATTCTTCTGGGCGCTTGTTGATGGAGGTGGAGGCGCCGAGGAAGGAATCTAAAAAAAAATATTTGCTCCAGAGAAAAAAAAAATCAGAAACTCTCAATTTTTCATGTTAGGTTTGAGAATGACTCTAGAACTGAAAAATTCAAAAACCTTCAAAAAATTTTTTCAAAAATCATGGGCCATTAGAGAATGAAATAAACTCAGATACGCGATAGTGGTCCCTCCAGGGCTTTGAAGGAAAAAAACAGCCTCTACTGAGAACAAAAAGTGGTGCAAACTCCAGGGGTCCCTAAAGGGGAGCCTTCAAGGGACGCTAAAGTGGCCCCTATAGGAATCACTCTGGAGATCCTTCTTTATCCGTATTTCAACTCTGTTTTTCCTTCTAATGACACCTTTCTCACTAGCTCAAACTCTAAAAAAGCGACGAAATTTATTTTTCCTCGTTTCAACTCGAACCAACCCTCTGCGAGGAACCAGAAGCCAGAGAAGACGTCGTCGGGGGCCGCGACGTCGTCGACGTCGACGCCACCAATCGCGACTTTCCGTTGAGGTCTTTCCGTTGCCTGGAAACGATCATTTTTCGTCATAATTTTCATCAAAAAATTGAGTAGAAAAACGAACTTGACATGCTTGGTTCCCCGGTTTTTCTCCTCCTCGGCCCGTTTTTCAGCCCGTTTCCGCGTCTCATCCAAAGATTTGTCCGTCGCTTGGATCTGGAATCGAAATTTGATAGTTTCAAGGTACCTTTTTCTTCAAATCTGCTAAAAAAAATAGTTCTCAATTTGGGGAAATTCAATTTTTTCGGTCGGGAAATAGCCAAAAAATAGAAAGAGCTGGGAAAGTTTTTAGTGGCCACTATAGAAGTTCTCTATTTAGTGGCCACTTCAGTACTTTTTATCCAGCATTCCTTCCAGTAACTCTGATAATTTTAAAACAAACAGATTGGACCAGTTATGTTGATCCATTGACCCCTAAAGTGGCCACTACAATTTTTTGTGGTCTAGTAGTAGCACTTAGACCTCTATAGTGGCCACCAACTTCTAACCCCTTAAGTGGCCACTAATATGACTACAACAGTGGCCACTAAAAGTTTCTCAGGAGAACCCAAAAAACCTGTCCAAAAACTTGAAAAAAAAAGGCCTTATTTGGAACTTTGCCAAAACTCATAACTAATTTTCTTGATTTTCGAAAATCGATCCCCGCCGAATATCAAATAAAAGTAGACTAATTTATATGAATTTCCTGAAACTGTAAGATGAAGAAAAATTATTATTTTTTTCAAATGAAGTTCAAGTCCCCAAAAAGCATCCTCAACTGGGAAAAATGAAGAAAGGAAAGGAGAATGAGGGAAAAATCGAGAGAGAGAAAAGGGTCACATGGTTGCAACCTGTCGCTGGAAATGTTTACAACTCGGGGCAAACGACCGATCGCAAGGGCAAAAGTCATTTGAATCAGGACGAAAAATTCGAATAAAAAGGTCAATTCATTCAGTTTTTTTTTTTGAAGAGTGAAACAAAGTTTATCGATCGGGTTTGAATTGGAAAATAATCAGAAAAATAAAATTAGGCCTGTAATATCAACAAAAAACTTCTCTGACTAAAAATTCGAGATACAAAACACGCTCCAAAAAGACGCTCTGACGCACGACGCAAAAGTTTGAACGAAACTTTACAGTAAATCTTCAAAATGATGCTTCTTGAAGATTTCGAAACAACTACTAGAACAAAATGAAGCTTCGGAAAAGTTTCCCTCATCACTCTCTAAACACGCCCCAAAAAGACGCTCTGGCGCACTACTACCAATTTTCCTTTTGAATGACAATTTTGAGACTTTTTTCCGGACAAAAGTAGGAAGTATTTTATTCAAATTTTTCTTTCGCTTATCGAAAAATCCCTTTCAAAACCAAAAGAATCCTCATTGGAAAAGTCCCCCCTCCAAAAATAGCCAACAGCCGTTTCATCAAATAAAATGGCTACCAACACAAATACGTACAACAATGGTCATGTGATATTTTCTCGCCGAAAAATGAACGATTTTTACGCCAAAAATCGTAGTCGGCGGCTAAAATTGGTGACAAAACATTGTCAATGTTATCGTGGAAGAGAGAGACACGTGGTTCTCGTTGCAGATTTTCGAGTTTTGGCCTTCTTTTATTTCTTTATTCAATTTTCAACAGTACTTTTTTCCGAAAAAAAGTACTAAAAAAACATGATTTTTGTGATTTTTCTAGGTACAACTTCTCAGAACGAAACCTGATCGAATAGAAAAAAACCACAAATATTCAAATAAAACCTAGTTGAAACAGTAAGAAGAGCTTAGAACTCAATTTTTTTCCGCATAAAAAAATTATCAAACGAATTTTTTTAAAAAGTATAAACCAATAGAAATTTATAACTATACAAAATTTATCCAAAAAAACCCCGGTACTTCGAAACTGAAGTGAAAAAAACCAGTCCCAAAATGAAAAGAAACTTTGCAATTACGTCATCGCGCGCCAAATAGTGACTAAACCGTACAGAAAAAAAAAATACAAGTGTTCAGTAGAAAAGACGGGGGGAAAAGAACTAGTTTTGTTCGCTAAAGAGAGGGGAAAAAAGGAGATATTTGGGCGAACTTTATCTGGAAAATTCAAACAAAAAAAAAGAGATTTTCAAGAAAAAGACAGGTTTTGAGGAAATAGTTCACTCACCGTAGCGAAAACCCAATTGGGAAAATTTTTAATGGCCACTATAGGGTTTCGACGTTTTAGTGGCCCTTATAGTAGTCAAATTAGTTGCCACTCAAGGGGTTAAAAATTAGTGGCCACTATAGAGGTCTAAGTGCTATTACTAGACCACAAAAATTTTAGTGGCCACTTTAGGGGCCAATGGATCAACATAACTGGTCCGATCTGTTTGTTTTAAAATTATCAGAGTTACTGGAAGGAATACTGGATGAAAAATTACTGAAGTGGCCACTAAAACGGAAAATACTGGTCCCTATAGAGGTGGGTTTAGTAGCCACTTTAGTGTCCTCTCCAAGTAGTCTTGGGAAGCCTCTATAGTGACCACTAAAAACTTGCCGAGAATATTGAAAAAAATACCTCCTTAAAAGATAAAGCAATTTTTCAAGCATTACTACCTGCTGCAACAAATCGTAATATTTATTTCAGTCTATGTATAACGAGTGAAACAGGAAATAGGCTTACCCATCAAAAACAAAAACCAACTTGATATTTTTTTGTTGTAGACGCCGACGTTGCTCACGAAGCCACCAGAATGTTGGACCAGAGCGTCCGTCGGTTCTCCCTGAAAAGAAACAATGAATTACTCAAAATGTGAATAAAAACTTTCCAGAGCTCATAAATTGAACAAAAAATCGAAAAATCTCTTTTTTTCTCTTGACTTTGAGGTGAAAAAAAGACCGAAATTGATAGATTCGGGAAAAAAAAATCTGATTTTAACAACAAATTAATAAGCTTCTAATAGATCATCATTATCAAAAACGTCTAAAATGAAATTTTTAAAAAAAATATTAAAAAATTGAATAATTCCTGGCCATTTGCTATCAAAAATTCCCTTGAAAATCAACAAAAACTTCAAAAATTGATTCAAGTGGTCACTAGAGGGGTTTAAAAAAATCCTTTTTGCTGCTGTTCATGTAATGAGTGAAAACAACTGAATAACCTGCAAATTTTGCTTCTGAAACCGGAAAATCGACGTCGAGCTGCCGTCTCCAACTTCCAAGACACCACCCTGAAAAATTTGAGAATAATGATAGGGTTTAAACATTTTCTTTTCAAAGGACTATCGGTTCAAAATGACCGGTTCTACAACTTCCAAACGCTTTTTTCTTCTTAAAATGTTGATTTAAACTTCAAAAATCGATTCATCCCTTCTTTTGCTCACAAGGGAGGTCATTTTACTTACAATTAATGGCTGGGAACTTTCTGAAAATTGGTCAGAACACTTCTTAATGTACTGGAAGAAGATTCAGGAAGCCTCAACTTGCAGAATTTTCTAGTTTTTGAGAAATAAGGGCTCAAAGTCCCAAAAAATGGCCTATTTTGAAGATTTTATTTGGACCTTATTATTCGTATTTTAAAACAAAACTTCTGATCAACATCAAAAATCCCTTCTGAACAGTCCAATCCAAGTGAATCAGGCGCAAGTCTCCAGGGGGGTGGAAACGCGTCGAAAAACAAGAATATCCGAGATAAGAATCAAATTATTCGCCGCCAAAACCTCTCCTCAACAACAACAACACGGTCGACCGAAAAAGATAACCGTTTTTCCAATCAAAAATCATCACGGAACTAGAGTACATCTCTTTGGGGTGGACCAGGAAAGTCGAAAAGCTTCAAATATCGGTTTCAAGCTCACCATGAAACTTCAAAAAAATACAAAAGTTCAACGGGGGGAACGTTCCCTGGTCAGATCACAGGGGGACTTTGAACGCTCAGAATTCGAAAAAACTTCGAATATTGGTTTGAAGCAAAATTAGGCCAAAAATAATGGAAACTGAACATTTCGAGGTTTCCAAAAAACTTGAAAAAGGTATGATCCCTTCAGTGACCTCTTGAGGGGCTATAAAAACGAAAATTAGCAGAAACCGCCGCTTCTAAACTTCAAGGAAAATCAAAACTTTTTCTTCATTTTTTAATTTGAAAAAAAGTCCCAAATCATTCAAATTCAGAGATACTTTATTAAAAAAATTTGAATTTTTTTGTGAAATTTCAGAAAATTACCACGGAATTAGAGTACATTTTCTGGAATGGACCGGGAAAGCCGAAAAAACTTCAAATTTCGATTTCCGGGCTTGGGTCAAAAGTTACTGCTCAATTTTGTGGTATTCAAAACTAAAAAAAATTCACATATTTCTTGAAATGAATGATCCCTTCAGTGACCTCTTGAGAGGCTATGGAAGACGAAAATCAGCATTTTTTAGAGATTCAAGGGCTTTTCCACCCCACAAAATCTAACGTTTTCCCAAAAATTCCAAAAAATCATCATTTTTTCTGAATATTTCGAAGCATGCCATTCCTCGCAACGAGGAACTTGATACTACCGGTTTGTTCCTCGACCAAAGAGACTCCTTTTTTTTCCTTCCTTCAACAATAATTCCTCTGCTATTTGATCAAGTTGTGTTGCACTTTTCTTCTTCCCGTTGCAAAACTCTCTCTTTCTCCGAACAAATGTTCCTTTTCTTTGTGGGGGTGCAAGCTCTAGACGGGGGCCGACGCGAAGAAATTCTCTATTTTTGGGTCGGGCCACTGACTATTTTCCCTCTTTTTCTCGACTGACTGTATCGTCGGAGGGACACTCCAAGAAGAGCCGATTTTTCCACGAGAAGGCTCTTTTTTTTTTCTTTTGCTGGTCATTCTTGAGGAGCAGAACGACAACAAAACTTTCGAGAAGCTATCGATTAGACTATCTGTTGAGAATGATAGTTTTCGCGTTCTAGTGAATAAAAACCAGTTCAGGAAAGCCGGAAAAATCAGAAAAGACTAAAAAAAGCCCAAAAAAGGATTAAGCACAAAAAAAATTTTTTTCTATATTTTTCACAAATTCAAATCTCACTCAAGCTCAAATCTTCTACTGAACTCATAGAACAAAATTCCGAAATTTACCTATAATGGACCAATTTTTCGCCCTAAAATAACCTTATCCAATCTTCTACATCTCCCAAAAAGCTATCTTCTCAAATTTTCAAACCTCAAAAAGCCCTTTTCTCCTCTATCAAGACTATTTTCCTAGTGTGTAAAAATCCAAAAACCTCGCAATTTTTTTTTGTAAACTAGGGCGCCCTTTTTCCCAGCCAGCGAGGCTATTTTTGCCCTTTGGTTCGTCTATCCCTTTTCTTCCAAGAACATCCCATCAAATACTCCTTGATACCACGGAGACAAGTGTGTAATTGCGGCTGCGGAGAGGAATTCTTCCGCGTGTGCTCCGCGAGCACACAAACAGGAGCTCTTTCGACCCGAATCCAATGCGAAAGGCATCAGTTATATTTGAGCAATGCTTGTGGCGCGAGAAAAATGGTGCAAAAAGAGCCATTGGAGCCAGTCCTTCTCAGGTCACCGAGGATGGAAAGTGCAGCAAAAAAAAAGGAGACAATGGAAACAATCTCAAGTCTGGCGCGGAAAACCTTCTCAAGTTTCGGGCAGAACCTTGTTCCAGTGACGTTGCCAACCGGTCGGTTACACGTGAAATATTCAAAAAAACATAAGATGATTGGCTTACATTTCATTTCTAAATTACCAACAAAACAAGTTACAACCCGTACAAAACTTGCAGGAAAAAATGTGGCGTTCTCTATTTAGTGGCCACTTCAGTAGTTTTTCATGCAGTATTACTTATAGTAACTCTGACAATTTTAAAACATACAGATTGGACCAGTTATGTTGACCCATTGACCCCTAAAGTGGCCACTAAAATTTTTAGTGGTCTAGTAGTAGCACTTAGACCTCTATAGTGGTCACTAATTTTTAACCCCTTAAGTGGCGACTAATCTGACTACTATAGTGGTCACTGAAACGTCAAAAACCCCACTAAAAAAAAAAAGATATGAATCAAAAAAATGCTTTTACTGAAAAAATTCTGAGCTTCTATTTTTTACCTATACCTAGGAACTACACCTATGAAAAAACTTTTCCAGCTTTTTCATTTAACCTCTAAAAACGGAAAAATTGAACTTTCAGCCATCTTTAACATTTCAAAAAATTCAAAAAGTCCCAACTTCATCTTCAAAAACCTTCCCAGCTTCATTCCCTAACCTGGACCCAGAAATAACTGCAAAAATTGGACTTTCAACCATCTCTAACATCTCCAAAACTTCAAAAATTCCCAAATTCATCTTCAAAAACCCTTCCTAGCTTCTTTACCTAACCTGGACCCAGAAATAATTGAAAAAATCGACTTCTAACCATCTCCAACATCTCAAAAACTTCGAAAAAACCCAGCTTCTTCCCCTAACCCCAATCTCTCCATTACTCCCAGAAAAATCCCTCGAAGAAGGGGGGTTCATTGCTCTGGGAAACGGCCGTTCGTTTCCGTTCCGGGTGGAGGCTGTCGTCGGCGTCGGCGAGGCCGGATCCTCCTCGTCGTGTGGCGCCTGAGGCATTTTTCCCTGCACAAACATTCCGTCCCTCCATACACACACACACACTTTTGCACTGCATGTGTGAGCTCCGGAGCGTGACGTCATTCAAAAAGTCCGACAATGGCGAATGGGAAGAAAAAAAGTTGAATGAGGCCAAAAGATCGGTTGGAAATTCGAAACCGATTCATTCGCAAAACAGAAAAATCTGTTCTTGGTCTGGAAAAAACCTCACTTTTTAAACTTCTTCGCTCCATGGATAATAAATGTCTGCAGTGGAAAAAAAACCTCGAACCTAATTTTATCGACTTTCTCTCAAAATTCCAACTTTTGCATTCAAATTCTCCATGGAACACAAAAAACCGAGCCTAACTTTCCACTTTTTTTCTCAGAACTAGTTCAAAATTTTCTTTAAATCCTTTAGACGCGTTTGCGGTCGCGTCACGGCTTATAAAAAGTGCTATGAGTCAATTTTTCTCAAAATTTCGGTTTTTTTTAAATATTTTCATTCAAATTCTCCATGGAGCGCAGAATACTGAGCCTAACTGACCATCTTTTTTTTTTCAAAACCAGTTCAAAATTTTCTTCAGATCCTCTAGACGCGTTTGCGGTCGCGTCACGGCTAAGAAAAAATTCTTGTCATTTTTCTCGAAATTTCAAAAATTTCATTCCAATTCTCCATGGAGCGCATATTACCAAGCCTAACTTTTCTCACCTTATTTCTATTTTTTCAGAACTAATTCAAAACTTTCTGGAGACCCTTCAAACGCGTTTGCGTCCTATAAAAATTCCTCCAATTTTTTTTTTCTTCATGATAAGTATGAAACTTCAGTAAGGAACAATTTTTCTTGACCCTACACATGAAAAAAAACCCTAAATTTCAAACTTTTTCCATCGAAACAGCTCAAAACGAGCCAAATCCCTATCGATTCATCAAAAATCGATAACCTCGAAACTCTTAACTTTCCCCTTAATCACTGTGACCCCTCGAGGACCTCTCCGATTCCCAATCATTTTGCGTCTCAAAAAGCGCAAAAACCAATCACACACACGCATACCCCTACACTGATAACAAATGAAAGTGATCAGACACACGGGTTGCGCGGGAGACCGAGGAGGACAATCAAAATCGATCCTAGCGCCCGTCGTTGGCCCGACCCGAACCGGTTTTTCGAGGCGGAATCTTCATGGATTATGGCTATTGAGAACACCTTCGACGGCGGCTTTTGCCTCGGCGTCATCATCATTTTTTGCCTTTCTAACGGCAGACTATTAGGCAAAAAAAAATGAATAATGATGATGAAAATTTTGATAAATTATGGAGGAAGTGAGGATGATCGATTTTTATTCATTTTGAAGGGAAAAGGTGGAAAATTTTTTCGTTTCAAGAAGCAAATGGACCCTCAAACCCTTCAAAAAAAAATCTTTCCTCTCGTTAAAAATTCCAACACCCTTCTGACAGTTCCCAGACAGCTCAGCCTTCAATGAAAAGTCCAAAAATGCCGGAAAAAAACGTCCAAAGTTTCCTCATTCCAAAAATGACAGTTCCAAGACAAGAGAATCGAAAAATCCAGACGATAGGAGTTTAAATCTGACTGGCACTTCAACTACCAACTATTGTCATCATTTTGTCAAAGAAAAAGAGAAAAAAATCGAAGAAATAAAAAAATTTTCACGATTTTTTTCCTCTTTCAAACTGATTTTTCTTTTTAGAAGTCGACGAATAAACTTCTTTTTCTAATTATTCCTGTTAAAAAAAACAATTTTTGAAACAGGAAACTGCGATAAATTTGAATAAGAGCTCAGAAAACTTTCTAAAAAAATTACTACAAAATTCCGAATCCGAGAAAAAAATTCGAGCAGAATGTTCTTTTTTTAATTTAATTAAATTTAGTTTAGAAAAAAACCTTATTCAAAACCTAAAAAAAGGGGTTTATAACAAAAAAAGTATTTTTAAAATAATATTCTTTTTGAAAAAAATAATAATCTTCAAATTTTTAATCAGCGACGGAATCCGAATAAGCATTACATAGATCTCTAACTTCATTATAAATTTTTGAGTGAAACAGAAAAAAATTGAGAATTTCGTAAAATTCTTTCTAGAAATCAAAGTAAAAACGTAGTTGTTTTTTTAAAACTATATAAAAAAATTCAATTTTTCTCAATTAAAACTGTTCTTTTTTTCATTTTTGAAAGCTCAAATTGGCGAAAAAAATCGTAAAAACCGGGTCATAATCATCTTAAAGAACAAAATTCGAGCTTTTTAATCTAAAAAAATGTAAATTTTTCAGAAGAAAGCTGCAAAAAAACCCGGAAAATCTTTCATTAATAATTAATATTTTCCTTTTTTCACCCAAGTAAAAATTCAACTTGATTTTAAAAAGGTACAAGGCCATGAATTCCACCTCAAAATGTTCAAAAAGCTCCGTAAAAACGGAATTTTGTCTTTCATTCACTTGTGAAAAGGGGCCAGAAAAGATAAATCTTTCCTCAAAAACGGGTTCAGATATTCCTTCCTTCCTTCTCAATTTATCGTCGTCACTGTTGGGCGACTGTAAAACAAAGACGGAAGGGGCGGAAAAAGAAGCGATTTGAGTGTACAAAACAATATTTTTTTTTCTCTCTCTTATTCGTTCCTTTTGTTTGACGTAACGGCAGGTGCATGGAAATGTTGCCGTTTTAAACTTTCCCGTCAAGTGGAAAAATATCAAAAAAAATATTTTTGTTATTTTGGATGATCCTTATAACTATTCAAATAAGCCAAACGATCAGAGATTAGCCTCGAAAAGTTGATTTTTTTCATAGAGAAGAAAAAATGGGGAGAAGCAATTTTGAGCACCTTTTTCAATGGAAAAAGTTGATTTATCGTTCAAAATTCAGTTTTTTTAAGTTTAATCCACTAGAAAATGACGTAATTTGCAAAAATCCTTAGTAAGAAGCGCCAAATTCAAAGAAAAAAAGCCTAAAAAAACTGGAAAAAAATGCTCAAAAAAAGGACCAAAATTACATGAAAAAAATTCGTTTCAAAGAAAAAAATATTCAAACAAATATTTTTAAAATAAGGCGTTTCAAAAATGTTTTTTTCAAGTTCCCTTGCCCTAGAAAAATCAAATAACTTGCAAAAACCCCTAACAGAAAGTTCAAAAAAATCAAAGAAAAAGAGCCTAAAAATCTGGAAAAATGCTCGAAAAAAGCAAAATTCACATTTAAAAAAATCTTTTAAAAGAAAAAAATATTCAAACACAAAATTTTTTTCAATTAGAATAAGTAATATTTGAATAAAATTAGTACTTGAAAGATGCTAAAAACACCGAAAAATTGGTCCAAAATGAATGAAACGACGAGAAATTTCATTAACTGTACAAATTTCAAAGATTTTTTTCAATTTTAATGGCTTTAAAATCGGAAATTAAAGCGTTAAATTCCTAAAAAAATCAATATCTTGAGTTCTTAAAAAAACCTAAACCTTCCAAAAAAATCGATTTTTTTCATTAGTAAAACCCCAAAATAACCTGTCTTCTCTTCAATTTATTCAATAAAAGTCCTTTTCCCTAACAAAAAAACTGTACTAAAAATCCCAACAAATTCGACCCAAAACTATCCATTTTCTTCAAAACCCCTCAATTTTCTGAACGAAAGAATGCAAAAAACAGGAAATCTACAAAAATACAACAAGAAACTTTCGAAAAATAAAAAAATGAATAAAAAAATGAATAAAAAAAAACCTGTTCGTCGACTTTCACTCGGACCGGCTTCTTGGAGTTAGACAAGAGATTGTACAGCTCGTCGGTCAGTTTGACCATCACGACGGCTTCCGTCGAACAGCTACCCGAATCGATCCTGAACCGGCAGATGATCATTTCGTTCAGGAAATTGGAGGAATTTCGTTCTCAAGCTTGATTTTCGATTTTTAGGTCAAAAATCAGAACAAAATTAACGAAATTTCGCTTTTTCTACAGCTAATAACTACTTTCCTAGCTTGAATCTTGCCTTTTTTCCGTTTTTCCGACCAAGAATCGAGAAAAAATTGATCTTTTTCACGTTAATTGAAAGAAAATTCTTAAAAAAAGTCAAGTTTAGATTTTTTTCTTTTAATAGAAAATCCCTTCTTACGTTCCAAAATAGAACCAAAAAATCGGGAAAAAAAGCTCAAAATCAGTGTAGATTAAAGGGGAAATTCGAAAAAAATATACTAAAAAAAGGCATTTTTTTATAGGAAAAAAATCCTCAAGCCTTTTTTTATGACTCTTTTTAGACAGTAAAAAAAATAAAAAAATCCAGAAACCTTCCATGAAAAAAAGATAAAAAAATTCAACGCATCATTAGAAATCTAAAAAAATCTCCTTGTAAAATATAAACTTGGGCCGGATCCAAATCTTCAAAAAGTTGGGCCAGGTTCGGGACATTTTCGAATTTTACTTTAGCGCGTAAGAGGCTTTTCTATGTTCTAAAGGTCTCATTGAGGCTTTTTTTTCCCTTTTCAATTATTTATTTTTCGAAAAATACGACAGAAGCTGACTGAGGAACGTGGAGAATCTCAAAAAAAGCTTCTTTTTCCGTTTTTCAACCGCTCGTTTTTTCGAAAAATACGACAGAAACTGACCGATGAAAGTGTAGAATCTCAAAAAAAAGCTTACTTTTCCGATTTCAACCGCTCGGTTTTTAAAGAAACACGACAAAAAAATGACCAATGAACGTCTAGGATCTACATAAAGCTTCTTTTTAAAAAAAAAGTCATTTTTTTCCGTTTTCAACCGCTCGTTTTTTCAAGAAACTGACCGATGGACGTCGACGCTGCTCACCGAGGGCGGCGAGGCGGTTTCGTAGCGGGAGGGCGACAAATTGGGCATGGTGAGCGGCTTGAGGATGGCTGCCATGACGAGACCCGTTTCGTGGTTGGAGCACAACAAGAAGAGCGACCAGGAGCCCAATTATTCCTCTACTCCTTCTTCTTCTTCTTATCGCCCAACTGTCCGCCCAACTTCTTCTTCTCTTCTCTTTTCTCTCTTTTTCTCTCTCTTCTCACTCCCGAGTGCGCGCGCCTTTTCTCGAACCGACAGCTGCTCCCAGTTGCCAACCGATTCGATACAACGCCCTCACACTGTAATAATTATCCGATTGATTGAGGGAAGAATCGAGAAGGAATGACGAGAAAAAAAAAACCGAGAAACAGGTTCAAAAATTGGAATAATTCAACGTGTGTGTGACAAGTCGTTTGAATGCGAGGGTGGCCTCATTGACGAAAGGAAGAATTTCGGGTTTTCGTGAGAAAAATATTTACCACCGAAATCGAATAATTACATGAAAAAAATTCAAAGGAACGTACGAAAACCCATCAAATAAAAATAAATTCTTTTTCAAAAACTTCGAAAAAAACTCTTCACATTCCCATATAATCGTCAAGTTTTCCATTTATCATTAAAAAAAGCAAAAAAACTCTTTTTTTCCATAAATATTTGAAAAATCTTTTCCCATCTCATGCCTACGGCTAATTCAATTTCAACCCATTTTTTTCAATTTACTAAACGAATTATCTTCCAACTTTGATACAAAAAAAAGCCTATTATTTTTCGACATCTAGAAACCTAACACAAAGAGTAGAAATCAAAAAAATAACACATAAAGTTTAAAAAAATTGTAGCGAAACTCTAAAAATTCTGGTACAAAAATTTGAAAAATGAAAAAAACAAATGCGCTCCTTTGAAAATACCGTAATCAATTTTTTTCGTTTCTTTGAATTTAACTCTCATTTTCTTAATTATTTCAGAAAAGGGCTCTATTTTCGACATAACATCAGATAAGTTCAATCCAATTAATCCAACGGCGCGTTGAGAAAAGGGCAAATTCGTGGTATTTCAATCCGGATTGATTAAAAAATAAACCAAAGTGCAGAAAAAGGATATTGGATTATATCAGCAATAGTCATAAATCGGAAAAACAAAAAGTAAAAAGAAATACTGGAAGACCTTCTTCGCCACGTTTGATTCCATTTACAGATAAGATTTCGATCTGGAAGTTTCTCTAACGTTTCCAAAAATACTCGAAAAGTGTGAGAGAAAAAGAATGAGAGTCACGCCACGAAAATACTGTACTCACATGTCCATAAACAGTAAGGAAGGCAAAATGTGAGAAAAGAAATGAAAAAGAAACTTGATAATAGAAGAAGAAGATGGAGAAGAAGGGAAAAACCCGTTTTCCTCGTGGCCTTCTTTAGTAAAAACTTTCGAGAAAGGAGAATTTTTCAGTGAGAAAGGTAGAAAAGTGATGAAAATTCTTTTTGATTTTGATACTTATTAAGAACTTTGAAATGAGTATGATAACCGTTTTATATCTCATAAAATTACTTGAAATTAGGGGGAAAAAAAATTTTTTTGTGGATTGTGACCCAAAGAACGAGCAAGAAAACTGTCTTCTTGCTACAAAACATTTCAAACAAGCTAAATAAGCTCAAAATACCCACAAAAATCTAGACAAAAATAAACAAAACCCTGCAAATTATCGGAATAAAAGCTCAAAAACTCTTTTGAAACAATGAAATCAACTCAAATCCTTCAAAAAACGCAACAAAAGCAAGAAAATCTCAAAGGAAAACGCAACAATGGCATATAATGAACCTGAACATTTCCTCAATCGCAAAAAAAAAGAAAAAAGAGAAAAAAGTCCAGCAAAACCAACCACCTCTTAACGCAACAATTACAAGAAATGACGCCGGACGAAAATAACGTTCAATAACCAAATACGAGAGTACGATCACCTCCCACTCCTTTGCCAAATGAACAGAAAAAAAGAACCGAGAGGTACAGAGAAAAAGATAGAGAGATAGGGAGGCGCAAGTGGAGACAAATAAGCCATGTTGATGATGTCACGTGAAAAATAGGCAAGTTTTCGGGGGTTTTGGGATACAAAAATCAAGATTAATGTGACTTTAAGGTTTTATGATTTTAGTTGTTCCAATCAAAACAAAAATTAAAAAAAAAGCCGAGGGTTGGGAAAAATTGCAAGGGCAGGGCCCACTTATTTTTTCGCTTCAAGTGGTCACTATAGGGGGTAAAATGGCGTCGAGAAAGATTTAAGAGACTTCTCTAGGGTTTTTGGGATTTTTTTCGTTTTCTACAGAATGCAGAACATTGGAGGTTCTTTTAAATATTTTGGAAAATAACTTGAAAAAAGTGGTCCTTCTAGGGACCTCTTGAAAGTCAATAAACGGTGTTCAAGTGGACATTTTAGGGTACTTCCCAATAAAAAATTCGTTTTTTGGGGTTTCGGGATACAAAAATCAAGAGGAATGCGACTTTGGGGCTGTTGGTAGTGGTCCCTACAGGGTTTTATGATTTTTGCTGTTCAAAAAATTTTGAAAAAAGACGCCTTGGTTGGGAAAAATTGCAGGGGCCGCTTCAAGTGGTCACTATAGGGGGCAAAATGGCGTCGAGAAAGGTTTAAGGGACATCTCTAGGGTTTTTGAGACTTTCGTCGATTTCTACAGAATGCAGAACAATGGAGGCTCTTTTTAAAGATTTTGAAAAATAATACGAAAAAGGTGGCCCTTCTAGGGACCAATGTTCAAGTGGACATTTTAGGGCACTTCCAAATGAAAAACTCGCATTTTTCCACATTTAAAGAGTTTCAAATCAACAATCGAATCATGTGAAACAGGAAAAATGTATTAAATATGCGTCCTGACGTCTTTAAACTCGACAAATTCGCTCAAAATCTAAATGTCGACGGCGAGCAAAACCATCCGATTTGTCATTGAAAAGGTGACCTTACTCTTCGTTGAATCATTAACTCGAAGAGACGGGCGAAAAATAAAACAAATACTTGATCAAAAATATTGAAAACCAGTGTCCATACTGTCGAAAACCTTCCTTTTTTCTGATATTCGAATCAAAATCGGGACCGAAAGAAAGACGGACGGGACTGACACACACACAGAGAGAAGACCGTGTGGGAGACCAACCGACAGTTTGAACAGCCGGAGGAGCGAGAGTTCAGAGAGACGGGGGTCGCTTCTTCTTCTTCTTCTTCTTCTTCTTCGGCAGGTCTGTCGGAGACGCAGAGAGGGGTTGGTTCAGCCCGAGAGGCGGCGGCAAAAGAGACTCCACCACCATCCAATCGCGCGCAACTTTGCCCAAAAAGACTGGACCTCTTGTTTTTTTTCTTTCTCTTTTTTTTCTATGGGACCAAAAGTACGGCATCGGCTCATGTCTAGGTGGTCGGACTACGAAAATTGAAGCTTGGGGAAGTCGTGAAAAGTTAGAACTCCGAAAGGTACTGCGTAAGAGGCGAAAACTCAAGATTTGAGGCTGGAAAACTTTTGAGAGACTTGAAAATCGATACTTGAGATAGCAGAACCTTCAAAATGACCTAGGTTCAAGATTTAAGGTTCAAAGAAAACTCGAAAAATAATCATACAAACTTTCAGATCTGGGAAAAAAATTTTGTGAGCGTATTTTCAAGATACAAAGCTTTTTAAAGTTTAAAAAAATGATCAAAACTTGAAAAAAGCCCTGACTGAAGTTCCAGTACCTCCTCAGAATCTTAACTTGGAAAAAAAGACGTTAAAACGCGCTCAAACTAGTTCATCACTCGGTTTATACTTCCTTCAGATGTTTGAACTAAAAACTCGACTTGGACTTCAATTTTCAACGATTTCGCTTGTAAGGCTTCAAGATTAAAAGCTCAAAAGCTTCCGGGATAAGTTCAAGCTTCAAAAACCACAATAGGGAACTCAAAAAAATTTTTTTCCACTTCAAAAGCTCAAGAATTATTTACAAGATACAAACTGAAGCCCAAAAAGCAACTTTTCCTTTTTCTTTTTTTTAGACCAATATCGGCTTATTGCAAGCAAGCGAAGCTCAGTGACCTTAAAAACCGAAAAAATTAGTTCTTACCACAAAAAAACCATTCTACCGGGCTTGAAATGAACATAGAACTCTTCAAGAATCAAACTTCAATAAAGGGTCCAAAAATCGATAAGTGGTCAAAGTTTGTGCACAGTATCCTCCACACAGAATGATATCAGTTGACAGGTGATTCCTATCATTTTAATGACGCTCTGGAAGTGAATTTCGAGACCGAATTTCTTCACGCTCTGGAATATTCGGCCAGAAATAGTGCTGACATTAAGGATTCGTGGGTTTTTTGCAGTCAATTAGCCGCTTTGGCACGTCGTCGCGCATCTTTTTCAGTGAGAATATTTTTGGCCAAAACGAATGAATTTGGGAAAAGAACGGGTTTGACCTGGCGGAAATAATATGCGAAAACTCAATTACTTTTGTTAGAGAATGAAGAAAAAAAAATGATTGAGGCTATTTTTGAGAAGTAATTTCCTTTGTATGTCTTGTCAGAGTCGGAAAAAAGAGTTCAGAACGGGGAAAGAAACTGCTTTCAAATGCAGTAGGATGCTAAAAATTCATGAGGTCGAACCTGGGAGACTCCTCATTCATGTTAATAAAACCGAGACCTTTAAAAAGGTTCCAGTAAAAATAGTTCTGAATATTATCTTTTTTCTCGTTTTAAAAGATAAAAAATAATAATCTTTTCAGGCTATTCAAACATAATTCAATACTTTTCATCATTAAAAGAAATATTTTTGTCAAACTTACAATAAAAAATGGATCAAAAACCTCCAGGCGAAGAAAAAAAGGCCCAATCTCGTTCTTCTAGTGTCAAGCCCAAGCCAAATCGATCAAACAATCCCCAAAAACGGGATCCTCGACAAAAGCAAAACGTTGCATTCGGTTGCATCATCATTGGAAAGAATTATTAGAAAGGGAAACCAGTTCAGTTGACCCAACTGAACCAAGGCAAAACGAGAAAGCGACAAAAAAGAGAGAAAACTCAAAATCGTTAAAACTTTCAGCCAGAAGGAAAAAAG